GCGTCGGTCTTCGTCAGCCGTCGTTGTGCTGCCACGCCCCCGGCTGGCAGAGGGCAATGTGCAGGTTCTGGTCGCCGACCTGTCGCAGTCTGCCTCAATCCCCCAATAGCCTGCGCGGCCCTTGGTAATCCGGGCGACGACCGAGCCAGGATAATTTTCGATGGCGTCGATACCATGAGTGGCAGGTGGCTAAATTTTAAGACTTACCGCGGTCTCCATCCATCGTCCTTCCTGATCTGGGCTTGGGGCCGGCAACGATTGACATGAATCTGTTAAACAAACCATGTCTCAGTATCTTTCGAGGAGTGTGCCAAAGAAATACCATGTCATTGACTGTTGTAGCGGCAAAACTAATGTTGCCGTATCCGAACGGACTGAGAGTAGCTAACGGAATTGTTATTTGCGGTCAACGACACCGTTTTCGTACAGGACACGATGGAACTCCAACAGAAGATTCAGTGGTTACAAGAAGAATCTCTCACCATCACCATCAAATGGGAGAATATCCTCTCCAAGAACAAACTGATGCGAAACGTGCACTGGCCCGAGGATTTCATCTAAGAAGACGACGAAGTCATTGATTGTGTATGGCAGGTCCGCCGGGTAGACCGCATGAACTCGTTGGAGGGATAATTCAGCGAAAATATGGATGGCGGCATGGCTAAGCTGTAACTGATTTAAAACATGGTTATTCGACGGTGGTCTGCCCGTGTGAGTGAAAAAAGAAGTTGTATTCAATCTGCTGTCTCCCGTAATCTACGGCACTGAATGTTTTTCTGCAACACAAGCTGAGGAGAGAACTGGTGGTCATACAAAGAGCAGTGGAGCAAAGTATGTGCAAGGTCTCTGTCCTAGATCACATTCTGAGGGCTCAAATTTGAACTGGATTAACAGACGATACTTCTGCCTTCTACGACGTCAAGAACATGTAGCTCGTCGTAGCATAACCCATAAACGTCAAGAATTACTCACTGGGTTCCGCTGGATCATAAATATCCACTATCGTCCAAGAACGCGCTAGGGCGGTTTTTAGAAAATCGAATCAAATTGGCTACAAATAACGCTTTTAAAGTGGTGAAGTCATTGGCAGTAAGCGTGCGATTGCCGCCATTCGACCTAAATAATGTACACAAAGTCAGGGCGTCAGGCAACAGCCAAGATGACAAAGTCTAGTAAGAACTGACACGGCACCAAAAGGTTTGAAGAGTCAACGTTTTTATTGATTAAATGTAGGATGCCTCGGTGACACCCGACGTTGTCTTCAGTATAATGGGTTCGAAGAAGTACATTTTTGTCTTCCATAAATGATGATTGCAGTATTAATTCATTTTCGAAAATTCTCAACTGCTTTTGGACCAAAGTTGATTGCCTGTTATAGCACCTCACATTAGATTCAAGTCCAGGTACAGGTTATTGCAGAAACACAGATGTTGAACTTGTTAGTTTGCCATTTCCTGTTGTTTGATGTTTGAAGTGTTTGGTAAGTTGGCTAAGCATGAGTCTTTCATCCAACCTAAACCAGATTCATCATGCAGGAATCGAAGTTCCTTAAGTATAAATCGAGAGGTTACGTAACACGAATGAACCATATATGGACAGATCTGCATTTGGAACGATGTTGCTTTTTCTACAATATCGTTTTTGCTCGCTTTAAGGAGAATGTGAGAATGAGGTTGAAGTTACAAACCGGAGAAATTCTATGAATGTTATTGGCTCCAAGAGAGTATCATTGCAACACAACATCAGGTTGTGAGTGATCTCAAAGCTTCGTTTTAGAGTTGTGGAAGAGCCAAAAGCTTTGTTGGGTAATTGCAGTGCTACTGTTATCATAATGCATCGAATTTGCTGTTAGCTTTTGCTACTGAAGTTTGAGTTTAGAAAGCTTCATCCTGAATTTCGTGAACAATTGGAAGAGTTCAAGCTTCATCTTCTGGAAGCTGACGAGCTGACTCCCCTAAAAGTATGGCAGCTTCAAGATTTAAGTCTTCAGGCAGGACAGAAGGTTGTATCTACCGCGAAATCAGATGCGCTTCGTATGCTGCAAGAAATAAGCCAGAATTTCCCCATAATGGCAAGGTAAAGTTTGAGTTCTATTAATAATTTATTGATATGTGCTGACACGGTAAGTTTGCCCAGTTTGGTTTCACTCTTAAAAGGACGCAGGCCAAAAGGCCGCACTGCAGCGTTTGTGTGATTTACTGTAAAGAAGAAAATTCATCGAATTCACCTCACGCATTCCGTAGGTGCTTTAGCGTATGTCTGTGACCTATGAAGTATTTCAACTTTAATTAAAGTTACTGAATTGCCAGTTTGGATTGTCTCGATCTTTTTCAAAGAGCGTTTTTGATGGAAACTTATTGATTATTTCAGTGACATCATCTGTAGGTTATTTTTGCCCAGATTTGAAATGTTTAGGGAATAAATGGCTGTCTCCTTTATTGCATTTAACGTTTATTTATTTATCACGCTACATCGCGGCAGTTGAAAGAAAATTTTCAGATCTTTGACGCACATTTCCGTGAAATCCGAATTTAGAGCAGAACTTGAATCAAATCAAGCGGTAGTGCTGCTGTCATGCCAAATTATAATATACATTTGCACGTTTTAGGGTTTGTTTGAAGAACTCGGGCTTGAACCAGGGACCAGCGCGTTGTTTATTAACGGACTAGTAATCGACTTGGACAGTCTGGATATTTTTCAGCTGTTAGAACTGCTTCGACGTGAGGAACATCTTTCTGAAGGTTTTTTTCAGCTTGGCTTAAGTGTAAGTAGTTCGTTAGTTGATGCACATCTTTTAGTAGCTTTTGAATGTGCATTAGCG